TCTGGTCTAAGCAGTCTGGGCGGGCCCCATCCCACCGCCCTGAGAGCCACTGACCCCTGACTCACTCTCATCCGCCTCCCTGTCCCCTCCAGAAAGTTCTACTTCTCTGTAAGGACACCTGCCGGCCGTCCACTGTGGGGTCCCCTAGATCAAAGCGTCTGCCTGCCATCCCAGATGCTCAGGAGGCTGAGACTGGAGGATCGCAGTTCAAAGCCAGCCCGGGCAGGAAAGGCAGTGAGACTCTGATCTCCAGTGAACCAGGCAACCGGAAGTGGCTGTGGCCTGAGCGGTAGAGCGCTGGCCTTGAGCTGAGGACAGCGCCCAGGCCCACGACCAACCACGACAAAAAAAGAATATAAAACAAAAGGCAGGGTATACCACGTGACATGTGAACTGATGGTGGGCTGGCTGTTTCTAAATTTTGTGTGTGTGGGGGGGTCCTGGGGCTGAACTCTGGACTGGGCGCTGTCCCTCAAGGCAAGCGCTCTACCACCTGAGCCTCGGCACCACTTCTGGTTTTCTAGAATTTTTATTGTAATGTTTGTAATGGATCACATTTTACACACACACATATTCACGTACATGGTCACAGTGTATTTGTTAGGATGAAATAGTATGATCCCGTAATAAAATAGAAACCTCAAACTCCAAAGTAATATCAAGAAGAGAGGGCGAGAGCTGAGACCAGTTTCAGCCGGGCATCAATGCCTGGCAAATGGAAGGTGAGCGGCTCAGGAGGCTAGATTCACAGCTCAGAGCCAACCACGAGATTATCATTTCCAATTAACCAGAAAAAAACCAGGATTGAGCCATGGCTCAAGGGCAGAGTGCTAGCCTTGAACAAGAGACGCTCAGGGACAGTGCCTAAGACCCAACGACAACAAGCCCACAGTAAAAAAAAAAACACCATGTTCCGGCCACCGCTCGGTTAACATTACACTTTTTATGTGTTTAGGGTGCATATTAGATAATGAAGAGATTGTAGATATTTTAAAAAAGTGTAAAATGACATCAAACGAAATTACAAAACGCATCAAAGCAACGGAAAAGGCGGAGAGTGAACTCCAAGCAGCCCGGGAGCAGTACCTGCCCATCGCCACGCGGGGAACCCTGCTCTACTTCCTGGTGGCCGACCTCGCCCGGCTCGACTACATGTACCAGTTCTCCCTGTCCTGGTTCCGGGAGGTGTTTGTTTCTTCGGTAACTTCCAAAAGCGAAGAACAAGAAATTGATGTGAAGCAGGAGACAGTGCCTCCAGATGGGATTGCAAGTCTAACAACACTAGCTGGCCTGGAACGCAGGGACCGCAACATATACAAGCATATCAAACACACAATGGATGCGCTGACAAGAAATGTGTTTAAGGTGAGCTTTTGATTGGTGACTGTGAATTCTGAGGTGTGTTTATTTGGGCTGATCTGACAGCTGTGTGCTCCCGCAGGTTGTTTCTTCCACTTTGTTTAATCAACATAAACTCTGCTTCTCCTTCTCACTGTGTACTACGATCATGAAAAATAATGCTGATGGAAACTGGCTGAGTGATCTCGGGTCTCTGCCAGAGGAGGAATGGAACATCTTTTTATATTCTGGCATACTGATAGATATTAAAAGTATATTGCCCACACCTGGACTTGACAGTAAGTAAAAGTAATTTCTCTGGATGTGGCCAAACTGTGACCCTCAGTCACTCTTCTGGGGTTGACTGACGTAAACACACGTAGATGTGGCTGTGGCTGCCCAGCACAGTGTGTGCATGTGTACCATCATTGTAACCCTGCACATGTGTCTGTGCGTGTGTGTGTGTGTGTGTGTACACGCTCATGCACCGCTTCTGAGGTTTGAACTCTGGGCCTGGGAACTGTCCCTAGCTAGCACTCTTCCACTTGAGCCACAGATCCAGTGTCAAGCCAGAAGATCCTCAGAACATTCAGAACAGAACTATTTTGCTGGGTACCCGTTATCGTAGCTACTCAAGGGGCTGAGATCTGAGGATCACAGTTCCAAGTCAGCCAGGACAGGAACGTCCCTGAAATGCTCATCTCCAATTAACCACCCAAAAGCCAGAAATGCAGCCATGGCTCAAGTGGTAGAGAGAGCACTAGCCTTGAGCAAAAAGGGTCAGGGACAGTGCCCAAGCCTTGAGTTCAAGCCCCAGGACCAGCACTAAAAAAGAAAAGAACAAAAAGAATAGAAGTATATGATCCAGCAAATACACTCCAAATATATATCCAAAAAGTTAAAAGCAGAGTCTGGAGAGATGCACACCTATTCACTGCAGCACTATCTAGCCAACAGCACTCTATAGCCAACAGCAGCATCTCAGATGTCACCGATCAGTGAATTGATATGTAAAAATGTAACACAGACACACCTTGGAAGAGTGTCCAGCCTGCCGGAGGAAGCCTCAGCACGGGTGAGCCTTGTAGAACAGATTAGAAATGAGCTCAGATAGGCGGCCACTGCGGAAGCTGAGCACTGCTCACCAAGCTCTTGGAGAAGTGGGGACACGGGTGCATGGTGTAATGGGTGGAGGGGTTTGTATTTGCAGACGAGGGTCTGCAGTCACAGGGATGTGAGTGTGGCGCCACCCCTGGACTGTGTACTCATAGTCGTCTAGATAAACTTTTTGTGTGTCTTACCACAATAAAATAACCTGAGTAAGTTTTGTGTAAACGGTCTCTCTGCTGTGCAATAAGTAACTCGATTGTTGCTGTGATGAGTGAGTGACAGCTAAAGGACATGACCGTGTTTCTTTTCCTGTTAGACGTGTTTGAGACCTGCAAAACGCAACATCTTCAGTGGCTGGCCCCCTCCAGATGGAAGCAGTGCCAGTACGTGGGCCATCACCTGGGGGCGTTTGCGCTCCTCTGCCGGTCCCTCCTGTCGGATGCCCCGCAGTGGGAGGCCTTCAGGAAGAGCAGGACGGTGTACTCGCTGCTGAGCATGCCCTTCTCCTCAAAGGATGGCTCATCCCAGGAAAGTAAGAAGAGCTACTGGCGCTCACGCCTGTAATCCCAGCTATGCCAGAGGCTGAAATCGGAGGCTCACAAAGCCAGCATGGCAGGAGTCTGTGAGACTTCAACCAAAAGGCTGAAGTAGAGGGTGACCCAAGTGGGAGAAAGCTAGCCTTGAGCAAAAAGGCTCCTGAGTTCAAGCCCCAAGGCAGGCACACACCAAAAAAGTCTTCAGCTTTCCTCTATCCTAAGTGTGTGTCTGTATACACAGGTTGGCAGTTGAGAAATAATTCCAGGTCTTACATTTTAACATTAAAGGGAGGAATATAGCTATGCTCCACAC